TTCTTCTAAACATGATTTATTTAATTCTGATTTATCTTTGATTAATAAAAGAAAATTAGTTAAACTTTTTCAAATCGTTTTGAATGATTCAAATCAAACCCAAAATCAAGATCAAGATGATTCATCAAAAAGTACACCAGAATCAGAACCAAATGTACCAGAACGTGAATCATTGCACAGTTTTCTAGCATCTAAACCATACGAATTCCCCACCAGTCTAATTTCACAACTCACAGCTTTATCATTATCACCCTTGAAGTCCATCGAATCATCAAAACAACAGTCGATCCAAAGGATCCAAACCTTACTAAATTCGATTGGAAGGTACGGAAACTCTAATGGATCAGCTTCGAGTTTTTTAATTTCCCAGTATGGAGGAACAGGTGAATGGATCGAAAGCATGATCAGATCATCTGCTATTCAAAAAGGAGCGACTCAAATCATTGGTAGAAGGATTAATTCGTTACGTAAGACTCGCAAGGGTTGGAGTATTCAAGTTGAAGATTTAGAGAGAAATGAGGTTTTGGAGTTTGGGGCTGAAAGATTGGTGATTGGAGTAGATCATTTAGATCTTTTAAAAGATTATCAAATCGGTAAACCTAAGCTTGCTTATATGATTCATAGATCTATTGTGTTGGTTGAATCGGTGGGGTTGAATTGGGATCTTGATGCAATGGAAATTAAACATACTTTGATTGTCATTGATTCTGAAACTCATGGAAATCCAATCCAAGTTTTAATCATTGGATCTTCTTCTGAATGTTGTCCAGATCAACAAGGTAAACTGTTTTATTTTTCGTTTTCTTGAAAAAATGTTGAAATACTGATGATTTTTTTTCTTTTTTTTCGATTAGTGATTATTTATTTATCTACTGTCTCTAATGAGATTTCAAAAAATGAAAATCCAGAGGAAATGTTGGGTCCGGTTTTGGATTTAATACTTAAACCTACAGTAGAACCATTAATGAAACTTTTTTATACTCAACAAGTCTTTCATCATATCAAAACTGGTGATTTTCAAGATATAGATCATCAAAATGAAGATCATCAAGATAAAGATGAGCAAGACAAAGAACATCAAGACAAAGAATATCAAAATAAAGATGATCAAGACAAAGATGATGAAGAGAAAAAGATGGTGGTATTGAATAATTGGCCAGAAGAGATTGAAGATTCTGGATTAGGTAGATTATCAGAATGGGGTTTATGAATACGTAGAAAAAGTCATGAAAGATGAATGTTCAAAAGATGTTCACACAGATAATGTAGAAGAATGAAATTAAGATATTTATTGTTTGGATTGGAATCTTATAACATATCATATTTTTCTTTACAATACTAGTATATATGCTATCTCTCTTCTATCATTTTTTTATTATAGGTGATTCATTGGTTCTTTATGCTATTTATATCATTTTCTTTTATCTCTCTCTTTCCATTTCTCTATTTTATTCATTTATTGTATAAAACAATGCAATCCTAATTTCATAAATTCAAATTTCTTTTTTTTTATGTAAGATATAATTTAACAAGGTTTTGTTTATATGATTCTTTTAAACGAGCAAAGTCAAATCCACTTTTGGTTTTGTTTTTTTTTACATTCAGATTGGTTCAGTTTATTGTGCATCATCAAGGGTTATGATATATATCTTTTTGAAATCTGATTAACAAATGCCTTTGAAATTAGATTCCAATTCATTCATTCATTCATTCATTCATTCATTCATTCATTCATTCATTCATTAACAACCAAACAAACAAACAAAGAAGATGTCAAATCTTTTAAGGCTCCTATACTTCTCATGATGACATTGATCACAAATGGTCAAAAATCTTTTGTAACATCTATAACATGATAGCCTGAAGTCTCTGAACAAAAGATTGCTGATCAAGAGTGAGACCATTCAGACTGAATCTATGAGTTTTTAGTGTTGATCTTGAATATTGGAGGACAATGTGATCTTCAGAAAAGACATGCTCAGAAGGGAAGCTGGGATAGCCAGGTATGACATTGTCATTGTAGACAAAGCAGAGTAAGTCTTTATTTTGCCCTTCCATTATGTAAGTATATCTTTCTGATTGTGCTCAACTGGTTCAACAAGGCAAGGAATTGACATTGGAGGTGTTCTTGATGAAATAGAAAGACATCTCTCAAGTGGCAAAACATTGCATTTTCCTTGACCAGCATTGATGTGGTTTCTTGGTCACAAAGTCAAAGTAGATCACTGGATAACTTCTTCTCAATCATTGCAAACCAAAGATCACAATCACAAATGAGGGAACTGATTGTGGTCTTTAAAGAGGCAGTGGTCAAGCAGGGCTCCAAAAGTAGAATAAGGAGTTGATGAGAAGGAAGTAAAACTTGATGTTACAATCAAAGTTGAAAGGAAATTACCATTCTTTGTGTCTTCTGTTTATCATTACCATCTGTTTGATACTCTTTTTGTGATGTCCAAGCTTGTGTTTAGCAATCAATTCTGCCAGCATTAAATAGGTTCCCGGATGGGAAAGCAACCTAGGCTGGGAACATGATTGAGAGCGCAATGTGTCATGAAATCATCTTGCACTGGCCATAAAGCATATGCTACATATGTGCAAACATCTGAGTAAACCCTTAGCTATCAGCTACATACATATCATCTCAGTTATCTGTTCATCTGGATAAGCGAATCATATGTAATACATCCTGTAACGTTGTTCAGATTGAGACAAGCATCTTGGAACATCGACTACATACATCACGATGGCTACTCGGGAAATATTCATGAAGCTGTGTACCAGTAACAGAAGGGGAATCTGGTCCCTAGGACCCACATTCCCATCCAGGAACCATTTCATGCTTGCATGCATGCAAATGATCTCACATGTCCTTGGTGCTATAATGAACATCACAAGCTAGTAGTTCTCTACACTCTTTCCCACTCTTTGATGTCACATTGAACTGAAGTTTTTTCCTGAATTCAGTAGGGTTAAAGTGATTCCAGACCCAGCTTCTTTAAGTAGCGGGTGTGTTGCTCTAGTTGTCATCCAATTCTAGGACCACAGGTGTTTTGATTGGCATCAAGTTCACCAGTGAGATCAATCTTGGTCATGATATGACTATTTTGGATGAAGACATGGTCAAAGTGGTAAATTTTCTGGGGAAAAATTCTTACTCTCTTTCTATCAAATCTTTTCTCAGAAGCTCCTTGAGACTCGTCCAACCTGGATTGGAATCTATATCATCTCTCCTCAATACAAATTCCAAAATGATGCTCAAACTTATAGCATCCATCTACTATTTTCTCTATTTCATTCAAAATGAATGAAGAAAGATCCAAGCTAAATTTGAAGGAAATTTCCTTGACTAAACTCAACCAACTCAGCAGGCACTTGTTGCAAGAGTTATGGCAGCAGACAGGATGGGACTTGACAACCTGCTACAGCCAGTGTGGGACTGTGCAAAGAGTTCTGGAACTTACTCTAGATTCCAGACAACCACCCCTTTTTGGTGTGTTTTCTTCTTTTTTTTTGGTGGACTACCTGAATCCCCACCAGGAAATGCGGGGGGAGTCTGCGGGATAGCTGATCAAGAGAGCCAGGGAGGGGCCAGGGCAGGCGCTTAGGTGAAATTGACATTGAAGATTTTTGACCGTACTGAAGAAATCTTCAATTCACCAAAAGTGAATCAAGATAGAGTTAAGCTGATTTGAGCTGAAAAAGTCTTTCAACTTCTTCAGCCCAGAAGCTCAAGTTACACACAAATTTACAGTCCTAGATCTCCAGCTACAGCTGGGCAGAAGATTTTTTGTTTTTTGGTCCATCTACATTGTTGTATTTTTTTTGTTTTAGGATAAAGAAATGCTTCAGAATAACTGTGTTTCCAGTGGTCGGTCACAAGTTTCTTTGACAGAAAAAACTTAATTAGGTGAAGGAATTCTTTTGTAAAAAAAACGGTGTGCTATGGGCTTTTTTAAGCTAAGCTATGGGTAAAAAATAGTAAGACCTTTTATGATTTGAAAAGTTATTGAAAATAAGGTCATTGGATCTTATGGCTTTTATCTTATTAACATGTTGGTTCAAATACTCAGTAAGATCTATATTTACCTGTATCTGGAACATGGGCTTGCTTTCATGTTGCTCAAATGTCTAAGTATGTTGTGGATGTGATGTTGAAGTAGTTTCAATTTTCATCTGTTAATGATATCTCATCTTTCTTTTGAAATTTGTCAAATCTTTACTTGACCTGGGGGTTTGATTGAATACATTCCATATATCCGGACAATCTTAATTTAATGAAAACTAGTAACAAGTAAATTATATAACACAAAGATAATAATTATACATGGTTATTTTGGGTGTAATGAAGAGACGAGTATTAGAAACAAGATAATGATAAAAGTTTACATGAATTTGTTTTGATTAATTTGTTTTTCTTATAAATAATATGAAGTGATTCCAACTTTAAAGATTTAACGATGATGGTGTGCTCCACCTACGTGTACATCTGCTTCATCACCAGATCCAGGTTTAGGAATTTCAATCTGTTTGTAAAAAAATGATCAGTTGAAGTTCAAAGATAGATGAGAGGGAATGAAAAAACTTACGCCAGTCCAAGAATGAGTAAGTGGAAGATCAAGATTAATCCATCTTCGATCTTCGAATGAGGTTTTCCAACCAAGTTGTAAAGCAGCAAATTGACAGATATTTGAAGACACAGTACAAATGGTAGCAAGAGGCTACATGACAAAAAGGAAAAGAAAACCAATGAATGTTTTATCCAAGTCGATCATAATAGAGAGCAATTCGAACGTACTTTGTCGGCTTCATCAATTTGATGATATTTAGACCTCCAATCATCAGCCAAGATATTCATATCAATAATTTGTCCACGAGTATAACCAATCCTTTCAGATTAACATGAGCAT